TTTAACACAAAAAGTGTAAAACAATATGTTTCTAATGATTAAAGTTAAACAATTAATGGGATATACCAAATGGAGTTTTAACTACAAGGTGTGAGTTAGTCAAAAGTTAACCCATTGCTTACTGGAACCTGGTGGTCCCTGTGTTAAGCCTATGGGAATTAGATAAATCAGTAGCCAACGGGTCAAAAAAAACATATAAGAAACCCAGCGATAAGCAGTTTTTTTTACAATAATATATATCACATGAAAAATTATATAGAGAACATCATTACAAGATTATATTGTGATGGAATACAAACATACAACAAACATACTCTGGTTTTTAGCATATTTTACTGTAAATAAAAATTAACGAGTGCTTTGTCCACACACCATTCCTGCAATAGGCCATTTTCGTAATGTAACCAAATTTAATGCATATGTCTTTGTGAAGTGCCTCAATACAAGTTATTTCATTCACCTGATAAGATTAATAGTATTTCAATAGACAGAATTCGAACTGCATACATTAGTTGTTGCCAGGAAGGACATGGCTTGACCTACCTAGCAACACTTAATATAATGCAGTTTGCATTCTGACTATTGAAATAATATTATTCTTATCAGGTGAATGAAATGAAATGAAATTTATATTGAGGCACTTCACAAAGACGTATGCATTAAATTTGGTTACATTACGAAAATGGCCTATTCTTGACACTCGTTGTAGTTACACTATGAACATGAAGGACAAAGAAAGCGGACAAAATATACAGTTCCTCAGGTAGACAAAGAAACATCCCTTCACTGCTATTAAGTAAAAATGTGTAGAACAGGTGAATATGCATGTGACACCTGTTCTACACATTTTTACATAATAGCAGTGAAGGGATGTTCCTTTGTCTACCTGAGGAACTGCATATTTTGTCCGCTTTCTTTGTCTGTCATATTCATAGTGCAATTACTCGCCTCACCTACCATCCCAGTATAGCTTCCTGAGTGAGCTGCCAAAGGGTTTACCCAACCAAGTAGCAAATACATGCATAATGTTTAAAAAAAAAAGGTTTGTCTATATACCAGCAACCTAGCAACAATCTGATTTATAGTATATCTCTCCTACATAACACCAGTATAAAATCATATATATATTGTGATAGCATACACACATGCATACAATGCTATGAGGAAAAGTAGAGAAGATAATACAATGTACTCACCAATACGAATCGAAAAGAGGGAACTGAAGAAAACGTGGGAATACCGACTGTTTTAAACTAGTGTTCGGGTGTCCACCGTCCAGCAGTATCTTGATCGCTCCATTGCCTCTATTCATACAATTAAATCTATTATCATGATTTCAAAGACTTTCACGTACTTGGCGTTTAAACATGTGAATCGTTTCTAAGCTGTGAGACTGAACTCGTGTTTATTCATTCTTGGTCTATATCAATTACCACCACTCTTCTCGTAAGATGTGCATCGTCACCAGTCTCGTCCATAGTTTCGAAGAACTATTCTATGGTTATACAATATATTTACATCACCATGCAAGCCGACACTTACAAGCAGCATCTATTCTATGTTTGTTAACCATCGGAGCATGTAACCGGGGGCGGATCCAGCCGGCGCGGGGAAGGGACCATAATGTTTTTTTGTTGCTTAACGGGGGGGGGGGGGGGGGGGGGGGGGGTAGTGAGCACTTTTTTATACTTTTTTTACTCAACATCCCCCCCCCCTCTTTAGCAAAAAAAAACAGAAAGGTAAAATTGTGGTTACCATTTTTTGTTTTGCCAGGGAGGAGGGGTCCGTCTTCGTTTTTTTATAAAGGTAAAATTGTCGTTACCATGTTTTAGTTTTACTTCTTTGCCCGGGGTGCCCCCCATTGGATACGCCCCTGCATGTAATCATGCATGGTAAAGAAATGCGCTAACCACGTGATGATGAGGAGTGAAGACGAGTGAATTACCTATACACAATTAGCTAGTTAAATCATATTGAAAAAACAACCAGCTCTTGTGCAAGGTTGACAAAATAGAATGGGTGAATGTCGTTCATTTGATAATTTCATAAGGAAAGAATGGATAAGCCCTTTAATACGTTCCTTAATAAAATAAACTACAAATTCGATCACCTTGTCATAGCATGTATGGTTATTGGTTAACATGAATGACATTTGTCAATGTAAATGTGCACATGAACAGTGCAGGTATGTCCCTTTTTTTAATTGTAGGTTGATATATGATTTATGCGGTTCTAGGACACCTACCTCGTGGACATCGATCCACCCCCAGACAACTATCCCCTACGACAACCATCCTCTAGGACAACCACCCCCGGACAACTTTCCTAGGGGTTAGTTGACTGGGGACGGTTATCCGGGGGTGGATGTCCAGGGGGTAGGTGTCCGGATACGGAATTATGCAGCATCATTCTGAACATTGTAATAAGACTAATAACGAAGTATATTCAAATGAAGAAAAAAAAAACATAAACAAACAGCCAATAGCAGTAGCGTATGCAGGATTTTTTTTCGAGGGGGAGGGGGGGGGGGGGGTAAGGTCACTTTTTTGTCACTTTTTTTTTAAATTTGAGGGGGGGGGTTCCTCCAAAATACACACATATAAATAAATTGAGGGGGGGTTAAACCCCCAACCCCCCCCCCCCTGCGTACCCGCCTGGCCAATAGTAAGACTGAATATTCAAAAGGAAAAGAGAACCAAGGTAAGGTTCAGTTCGAGTTTCAGTTTTAGTCAATAAATCAATAAATCAATTCCAACAGAACAGTAATTTTGACAAGATATCAGATATACAACAAAACAACCATTTGATGCATTTTACATGGTTTTAATGCATTTTACATGGTTTAAAGTTATGAAATAGAAAGTATACATAAATATCCAGTATTAGGAATACCTAATACCTAATACTTGACAGTCAGAGAAGAGAAGTGAATTACATGTTATATGATTGAAATTTTTATTCTTCTGTCGGTTCATACTTTTTCATGTTGTATATACTTATGTTTTCGTACATTATAGAAATTCTACAAATTCATCATTATTTTCCTCTTCTTCCTTCTCCTCTTTTTCTTCTTCTTGTACTTAATATCATTTCTATCATCAGTTTAATGTTGTTATTATTATTAATATCTTTAATAAGTAGTTCTTTTAATTTTCTTATCTGTCTGTAAATATTACTATTTTAACTTATTAATTTTATACAATGTCTGTAAGGGACCCCACTGGAAATAAGCTCTCGAGCTTTCGTGGGTTATCCTGTTCAAGCTGACTTATTTCTGATCTGTTATTATTGTATATTGTTGTATGTTGGAAACTTGACGAATAAAATCAATCAATCAATCAATGTTTTTTTAAAGATATACCTGTGAAAATGGAGGGATCCACTGAAAAAAAGGAGCTTGTAAAATGTGAATCCCTCAAATTAATGACAAACATGATTTTTGTAACATCTAAATAATTGACTCGAAGAAAAAAATATATACATAGAATACCAAAAAGTGGCAGAATAATAATACAATTATAAATCCATAATTTGAAAACTTGTTATACGACACGTATATAATATAGTGAACACTGGAAAGGTAGCATTTCTCGGTGTTGAATTTTATCTGCCATGTGTTAGCCCATGAATGCAGCCTGTTGAGATCTTGTTGAAGGGCTTGGCTGTCAGTGACATCAGTGATCGGACGGTATAGAAGACAATCATCAGCTACAGGTAACACACATACACAAAGTATAAAGTTGGAACCAATGACATGAAGTGTTGCGAAAGATCTATATGTGGAAAGAAAATTTGTGCATGGTTCAGGTGGATACAACATGATAACTAGACTTTAATACAATTCATCCCATTAGTATTTCCATTTGGTATTGATATCGTTTCGAACATAATATAGCCTACGCACCTAGCCCTATGCATAATTTTAAAGGGGCCTAGCCTAGCCTGCTTAAAAATACAAGTCATACGTCACAAAAGAGTTCGAGTATGAAAAAGACGTACCATGCGCGTATACTGGCCTTGCGTACATTTCGCGTTAACATTGCGCGAAACAAGCTTGAACTATATAAAAACTATTCTGTGATTTATGTGAAGCTAGCCTTACCTAGCCATATCTGTACAATAGGATCGGTGTAGATGGAAGAATTACTCTAACTTGTATAGCCTACCTTTCCCGTTACAACAAGATGTCGCTAATATCAAGGTAAGATTCAGATTCATGTAATGCTAGACCTAGATTTATTTCTGAAAATGATGGTGATGCTGTTTTCCAGGTCAGGGGCGGATGGATTCAAAATTGTGAAAAGATGAGATGGAGAGGATGAAATTTCCCGACATCTTCATCGAGAATCGGCGGCACTTACATCATCCCATGCAGACCCTGAATAGCTGGTTGCTTGGGCATTGAGGGGGGGGGGGGGGGGGGTAAGAGGGCACTTAAAAATGCGTTTGCAGTTCGCTTTTACGAAAAAATACGCATCACATTGCATTTACCATTATATTCATCCTTTACCAACAAGTTGTGTGTCCGGACAAGTTGATTTAACACAGTAATTTAAAGAAATTTAAAAGCAACAAGTATCATAATTATCATCATCAGAATTATGTTGGACAATATTATAAAGGACACATAGGTCTAGACTCTAGATCTATGTATAACGGTTAATGTTATTTGATGAATATTTTTTTAATGAAGTGTCCGGACATCCAACACCCCATCAAAGGTCTCAAAAGATGTATGAATTTATTATTGCATGTAAAATTGCTGTTTTTAATCAACTATCCGGAGACACAACGTCTGAATAAACCATCGGGAAACTCGTGACATACATTTCACACCCCTACTTTTCACTCAGCCCTTATCTATGGATAGACCTAGGTTGTGTATCAGGCCGGACAGATAATTTCAAAGAGTATGATGTGGGTCGTGTTTCCGGACGCTTTACAAAATAAAGCTCGCACTTTTGCCTTTTGTTAAGAGTCCGGCCGGACACACAACCCACATGTGCACTCTGGTCAAACATCCTGAATAAAGACGACAAGGGTCCAGAACTTGTCGAATTAGGAGGGGCAGACGCCCGTTTTCAAATTATAATTTTGTTTTAAATCTAGAATTTAATCAATCAGTCAGCGTTAACCTTGCACTTCCCAACATGTTTTTTTTAGCTGGCGAAAATGTCATTGGTTCGTCCGGTTCGACGCGGGGACATTCCTGATCGCAACACCGCTCATCATATTCATCATTCTCGGTACCGTACTGCCTGTTACCATAGCATCATCCACTCTAGAACCAACATCCGAACCCCTGTCCGAGGCTACCGGTCCGCCCGAGATTGACCCGACGGCCCTAGCCGAAGAGACGACAGCCGAACCAGACGATGAACCCCGGTCGTATGCTGAGGCAGGCGGCACACCAAACGCCGCAGAGATCATCATCCCGCCATTTATTCTTATGCTTATCATTGTTATTGGTGAGATAGAAAGAAAATAATCTTCTTCATTTTTCTTCTTTTTTTAATTCTTCATATTTCATTTTTTTGTTGGGGGGGGGGGGGCAGTTTAGCTTTTATGAACTATCATTATCATTTTCCTATGTACATTACATATAATGTAGTAATTGAACTTTTGTGCCTTTACAATGTCAAAAGTTGTTGACATATTTTCTGCGATTCTGTATTAACCACTTTCTGGTAAAAACATGAAGTGTAATTGTTACGTTAGTTGATGTTAGTCCTGACATTCGACCCAAAATCAATTCTGTTGTCAGATAGACCCCCTACAAAAAATTACACTCCACACTCAAATTTAATACCGTTATTGGTAAGTTTTTGTTATTCCAATTCTCCACCACTTTTCGACAAAACTGACAGCAAATTTGATATGTCATGCAACATCGTTAAATGAGAAAAACTGTGTAAATATTGTCTTGTAGACCATGTATTATATCAGTGGTGTAGCGATGATTCTACATTCTAAGGGGCCCTGGCATCATGGGGGGGGGGGGGAATTGGCCTTATAGTGGTGAATGAAATGGAAGAAAAACACATCAATTAGAATAACGATGGGGAGGGTTTATCCCACCTATATCATCTTCCTTCTTCGTGCCCTTCCCACTCTCTCTTTCCCAATTATTATCTCCCTTTCTCCGAGTTCCCCTTTTTGCCATTTACCGAGGAAGGGGGCTATATAACATAGAGGGTTGTGTTCCTGTATCATCTTAGGCCAAATATATATATTAAAAAAAAATGTTTAGCGTCCTGATTATTTAAAAAAATAGGAAGGAGGAGGCCCTTTTTTTTCTTTTTCAAAATGGCCGCTCGGTACCTTTTCCCTGACAGTCAGACTATTTTTCAAGATGGCCGCCGACATTTTTTTTCTTCTTTTTAATCAGAAATAGATCCATTTTAGCAGTGTTTTTCATGTTTTTTTTCTTTAAAAAAAAAATCCAAAAAAAAATCCAAAAAAAATTCCATCAAAAAAAATTAATTTTTTCTTCAAAATTTCAACAAAAACAAAAAATAGGAGGCGGCCCCCCAAAAGGAGGCGGGCGGGGACGCTAAACATGTTTATTTTTTTAATGGCCTTACAAATCTTTTCCGATTCTATTCCCACAGGTCTGTCTGTGCTCATGATAAAGGCGCAGTTAATGAGAAACCGTTATGAAGTAAGAAAGCTGACGGAGGACTATTTCATGCAGCCTAGTCTCAGGGACTTGGCATCATCATTCGGGGGCGCCGAAATGGCGGGCCTACAGGAGATGAGGGAGGCCGCTACACATGCATGTAAGCAAAATATATTGAGGGAGGGGGGAGGGGGGTTGACGCCGCTTCGCTCAATCACTAAGTAATAATAAAGATAAAAGGAAATACAATACATAGAGAGAGAGAGAGAGAGAGAGAGAGAGAGAGAGAGAGAGAGAGAGAGCGCTTTCTTTTTCTTGGAATTTCTTTAAATAACTTAACATCTACTTGAGATAGCAGCTATGGCTGCCTAGTATACGGGCTTCTATTCAGTACTCTCGTATTGTTTACATTTGTTTTCCCTTGAGAATATAGCCCTCAATGTTGTCCATAATGATAAGATCCAAGCATTGCAAATCAACTTTTTTGTTTTTGTTGTTGTTGATATTTTATTTTTAATTGTTATTTTTGTAATTGTTATTTTGTTTCTCTCCATTTTAAACATAAAGTGCCACAAATGTTCACTTAAAAAAAAAATACAATCCTACTTTACTTGCTTACAGTTCTGAGCCTATCTGACATTGACACGATTCACAGCATGGAGCTGTTTTTCAACCGACCCCTCCCCCTATGCCGTATCGCCCTTCCAGCTCTTCTCTCCCTAGCCTTCTGTCCTCTGGTACTCTTCGTCTATCCCGCAGTGGCTCGGTTCTTCTGGCCTCCTGATCAATTCCCCGAGGGAACACCAGTCATCAACGACGCTATCGGTAAGAACTGGGCCCCATTTCACAAAACTTGTCATCAGTGACAAGTGACAGTTTTTGTTATAAGCTAGTGGAATCCTTGCTTCTGATTGGTTATCAGCAGATTTGTAACTGATTTATCATTTTCTCATTGAAAAAATGCTTTGTGAAACGGGTCCCATGGTGATGACTGAACGAGCGAAGACGGAATTGCAAAATAGTATTTAGTAAATGATTGCTTGTTCACAATCTTTAGATCGTAAAACAGCCGCATATACATAGGTGTCGGTTAAAAACAATAACACAAGTCAGAAAAGATGACAAAGATAACAACGTTGATTGAAATCATAAAACTTGAATTTTCCTACACACTTACTTAGTTCATCAGTAATGGTTTCAATAAAAGAAGATTTAGAAAGACGATGGTGCATAATTATACAAAATAAAAAACGAGAGAAAAATAAAGAGACGACTTGATCGGACCTTCCTTTCTCCACTCATCCTCTTTCTCTTTGCACAGTTTGTTTTCTGATACCTGCTGGTCTGGTTTATGCGTAAGTATGCTGTTTTCTTCTTTAAAATTCTGATATTCATAATATGAAGAATTAAATAGCTTTCTGACACATACGATAAACATTTTACAGCACAGCACAGTTTTAATGAAATGCGACAACTGCTTGCAATAAGATGGTAAAATTATTCGGAGACTTTAAACCGGCAAGGGATAAGGGCTTATGCAGCAATTTAGAATAAAAGATACTAATTTCATCAAAATCGTCACTTTCTCGTCTTGGCAAAAATGAGCCTATTACAGCTGACACATTTCGTTGGGCCCGAGTTTGGGCTTTCCTCATCTTGATGGTTTCAGCAACTTGTATCATACCACAGAACATCTTTCGGATTCTCCTACCAATCGGCTATGGAGAAACAGCGTTCTCTCATCAGCATCGTCTCAGGCGAGGTCTCGAAACTCGACCAGATTATCGTCATGACGTCACATATGACGTATATCACTCTGAAAGAGAAAGCGATGGTATGACCCACGGTAACTGATATCCAATCTGATATCCAATGATTGTTAGTGAACTTCAGAGCCTGTTTGAAACGTATAGACTTTATAATCTATGTTTGTCAAGCAAGAGTAATGGAAAAGAATCGGACGAATAAATCGACGATTTACGAGCCCACCCTAATCAAATTGCAAAAAAATTAAAAAAAGGGAAAAGAACGTGAGATAATAGAGAGAGATAATTATATTGTTCGAAAAACACCCTTCAGAGATTATACTATCATGTGAATCAGTTACGTGGGAACAACATGGTAAATCTTAAAACGTTCTGTTGTAATTGAACTTTGTTTTCGCTATTTATATATTGTCTTTTTTTTGTATAGATCTATGGGTATGTGAAAGATGAAGCCATCACTATAATTCGTCAGATTCAAGGTGTTTGTAAAGGAAGCACAGATAACTACAAGGGTGCTATCTGCAGTGGACAAATCTGGAGGGTAATTTAATATAAGCTCTCTTTTTCTACATTCCAAGGAAGAACTTTTAACTCGATGACAACTATTTCAGAAAAATGAACTGAAGATTTATCCTATTGTACATCCCACATGAGAAATTATGTTCAGATTACGTTATACCTCGTTGTCATGTTCTCATATTTCAATAGGTGATGCAATTACGGTCATAATAATCATAATAATAATGTACTGCGCCTTGAAACAAAGTATAAGGCGCATTATTAATGTAAGCTATTATTACGATCATGTTTTTTGTATCATTTAAGATAAAGAGCACTTCCAAACCCTAGGTAAAACGTAGAGACACCGAATTCGTTTACACCTCTTCCTTGAGAACTTAGAGGACACGATGCTATATATAGACGAACACTTTGTTGGGAAGTAGAGGCACGTGCCCCGTGTGCCCTCCCCTTCTCTCTGCCATTGAAACTAACCCATTTGAAATGTTACCTGTATTATCTATCTGATAAACCCATCTCAATCGTCAAGCAGTTTTACCAAAACTCTCCATTGGTTCGATTGATAGGCCTAATATGTGCACTTTCCTCTAAAATGATGTGAGTATAATATTGTCGTGGCCTTGTTCCTTCCGCCCTCACGATGTTATTTACTTGACATTATGTATTCAGCTAAACCAAGAAGTTACCAGCAACGTCTTGGCTAAACACAAGATTATTAATGTTGCAATCATTTTAGATCACCTTTCCTCTATATAATTCCTTGTATAAAGATTGTCCCTATCTTGCGAAATTCTGGAGCCAGACAAGAGAAATGGCACTTGGACAGGCACATCCTGGTAAGCATCTGATCGTATTTTGGTATAAAAGAATATAAAAGTAATTTTTATCCGAAAAAATATAATCATCTTGTACCGCAATACTAATTTCCTTTTTCAAAGTATCAAGTTAATTTCTTCGATTTTAATTTTAGTTCTGTGTATACCCGCTTTCTGTTTTTTCATAATTTTGTTTATAAACGTTTGTATTATTGTCGGTGATTTTCGGGAAAAATTGATTAGCACTGAATCTCAAGGTCGTGTGATATTGAATAGATGTGCTTTCACCATTTTTGCACTGATCATCCTATATAATACTTCGTGGATTACGAAAACTTACTAGTTATTTCTATTCTTTCTTTCTTTGTTTTTCAGGATAGTTTGATGGACCACGTGGTCGGTCTAAACTCTGATTCGGCTGTGAGATATGAGGTGATGATGACCAGGATTCATCCTCTTAAATGGCTCTTCCTGGAAGCACTCGGTTTCTTCGCTTTCTTTGGTGTCCTACTCCTAGACGTAATGCTCAAATCATCTTTGATAAAAAACTTCTTTTATGTATCGAAAATAATATTCAAGTTCAAGTTCGTTTATTTACACTCATCATTAAAAATACAGAATATATACAATTAAATACGAAATAATCACACATAAAATATCATACATCCTACAACAACAACAAAAAACAACATAACATAATGAGAGTGAATGGATGAGCTAAAAGAGGAGTATGGTCCTTATACTAGAGCCCATCCCTCATATATAATATTAATACAAGGCAAATTAAATGTTGTACTATTGGAAGCATGGAGAAAAAAATGGGGGAAAACAGGGGGGAGGGGGGGGGGAATATCGCTAGTGATATTTGTTTGTCTCGCAATGTATGGTCAACAAGGGATCTAAAAGATCACGACGTTTCGTGCGCCGCTGCAACACTTCGTTGAAGCGTCGGGATCTTTTAGATCCCTTGTTGACCATACATTGCGAGACAAACGAATATCACTAGCGATATTATTTTCGATTACATCCGCAAAGAGTAATATATTTAGCATTCTTTTATGTAACTTATAATTATGCAATTAATATACAACTTATAAATGACTTTTATATTACTATACAACATCGAAGGGACCGTCCCTCTCATTAGATTTTGAAATATGGCAGTAGGCCGTAGGTCCCCTAGACCAGTGCACGAGATGAGAAATGACGAAACAGAATTGCTATGCTCACTTTCCTCTGTCTTTAATTTGATCTCTTGGAATTATATGGTCTCTTGAAGTTTCACTAATTAGAATTGTTGACAATGGGTAAGAACCCTTAAAAGAATAGAAGGAAATATATGTCTCGTCTTGTTGCTTCTTGTGATCTTTGCCAGAATTATGATGTTTCTTTGATATTTACTGGGATATTTAGAGATTTGCCTTTCAAAGCTACACCTATGGATATCGGAATCATGATTTTTCTTCCTTCATGTTGTGTTTTTGATGATCATGATACTTATGCTATATAGTTATAATTCTGTTTCCTACCTACAGGCGTCATCCTATCGCATGGAGCTAGCGATGTGTATCATGACTGTATTCAGTATAACTATCCTCTGCTATGTGGTCGCAGATCTAGACTCTCCATTTAATGGATTCTTCAGGGTAAGCAAGAATACAAAATACCCCAATACTAAATCTTTAAATGCAGTACTAAACATATAAGAAGTGCTGCTAACTTATGTGGTACAGGTAGTACTAGTAGACCGCGCTGGGTTTTAATAACTGTTTTAGCAAGCCTATGGCTTATTTCGACAAAATGACAATTTAAAGAAAAAAAAGAAACTTAATCCTCGGCTCATCTCTGTTACTAATGCAAATTATAGAGTCTACCTAAACTATGAGAATTGAATCAACTGGCTTTCAGCAAAAATAATTAGATCTTACTGTAGATGTATTTATATATGTCGCCTCTTAATATTTAAGAAACGTGACATTGTCATAATTGGATAATTTTCATGCAAGCGGTGTTTCTTTTGCAGGTCTTTGCCCACGGTTGTATTTGTGTTTAGAAAAAAATGAGTACGAAACGTGACAAATACAAAAATACCAAGCTGAAATGTGAAAATAAGGGAATATTAGAACAGGAAAGTGTTTAGCTTTATTCACAAAGGAAAAGCACTCTTTGTATCCCCAAATAAAATGGATACGTTTCTCAAAAATTGCTGCGCAGATAGACTTTAAAAATGATTATCCTTTCATCTGCTTTTACATGATAAGGTGAACCTCTCGGCCCTACCCGACATCGTCGACAAGGCAAGCGTCTTTTACGAACACGCGATGGAAGGCAAACACGTTGACGGGCCAGCAGACCCCGGTCCGGCTGAGCATTCCATCAACGAAGACGAGAACGTCAAGAAAACCAGCTCGCACAGCATCAATGAAGTCGTCATTGCATCGTACGATGCTGAGAATACTGTCTGAATCAAGCAGTTTAAGTACAAAAGCTTGAATGGTTTTATTCTCTCTCTTGATTCAATGAAGTAAATTTAAATGTTGTTCCTTTTTAGAGGAAGTGAAGAATTCAGAGAAAGTGATATACCAGAATAACAACGGCTTGACGTCATAAGCATTAATTTCTTCTTCTTCTTCCGACCTTAGGCAATAAACATTTACTGAATACAAAATTTAGTGATGCTATTTGAAACGATTCACTTGAATATTTGCACGAAAAGAGAAGGAAAACAAAATCAAAAGGCATTGTAGTGCATTAACTTGAAGCTAAATAACGTGGCATTTTTTAATGAGATAACAGTGTGCGAGTTTTATGAGATTTTGAGAGGTCGAATTTAAAACCACCTTATTACAGAAGGGTGGTAGGGAAGAACATTCAAATGTTTATTTATCGACACAAAACTCGACTAAAAAGAGCTTCTCATTGGATGCTAATCAGTTATTCAGATATTGATAAATGTTTTGGAGTGTTCAATTTTTAATCTTTTATGAGTGCATTGTTATTTATCAATTTTTAGTCTGTTCATTTTATTTCAAATGTGTTGATGAATCTGATTTATTCATTTATTTATTTGACCGAATATTTATACAGGATACACAAGGTCATTAAAACAACTGCTTTCCATCTTGGTCCTGGAACCTTAAATTATTATAGCGTCTGCTAAAATATATGTTCATGTATGGATCCGGTTTACTTAATGTAAAACAAATTGTTTACGACTGCAATAAACATACCTTATATGAGTTGCATCAAAATAATGAAAGAGGAGGATCAAAGCTTTCCAAATGTGTGTCATTATCAATTATAAATGTGATTAAGATGATAAAACATCGATAATTCTCGGTATCGTTTTTTCTGTGACGCACTGTATATAAATATATAAATTGCATTTTGTTTAAATATGTTTTTAGCATCTTCATCTTGCAAATGTTTGTGGTTTCCATTTATTCATTAATTTTTTGAAACTTGACAAATATCAACTCACAAAGAACAGAAATATATCTCTCCCAATTCTCTTTTTTCTTTAGAAAAAATTGGCAACAGCTTTTCTCTCTATCTCAAACTCTCTGTCTCTCCATCTCTTTCTATCCCTCTATCCCTTGATTTCTTTCTATCTATTCTCCTCTCACCTTCACCTCACTCTCTCTCTGGCCCCTTTCTCTCGATCTCCTCTCTTTCTCTCTCTTCTCTTTTTCTCTCTCTCATCCCCTGTCCCCCTATCCCCTTCTCTCATCCTCTTCACACTCTCTCTCTTTGCCCCTACCCTCCCTTCTCTCGGTCCCCTATCCCCCTTTCTCTCTCCTCTTTCTCTCCCCCTCTCCTTCACCCTCTCTCTTTTTCTTAACGAGTATAAAAGAGACCTAAATACAAGACATAAGGTGATATCTTTACTTGAAAAAAATGGAAACAGCTTTTCTCTCCATATCAAACTCTCTCTCTCCCTCTCTTTCTATTCCACTTCCCCCTTTAGCTCTCTATTTCTTTCTATCTATTCTCCTCCCACCTCCACCTGACTCTCTCTCTCTGGCCCCTTATCTCCCTTTCTCTCGATCTTCTCTCTTTCTATCTCTCATCCCCTGTCTTTCCTATATCACCCTCTCTCTCTCTCTCTCTTCCCTGTTCTTCTACCCCCGCTCTCTCTTTCTCTTCACACACACACTCTCTCTCCCTATCCTCCCTTCTCTTTGTCCCCTATCCCTTTTCTCTCTCCTCTTTCTCTCCCCCTCTCCTTCATTCTCTCTCTTTTTCTTAATGAGAATAAAAGAGACCTAAATACAAGACATAAGGCGATATCTTTACTTTGTGACACATTTTCAAGATCAGCATTTTTATTACACTGGGTGCATATATGTTTGGGCATATAAACTGCACACAACCACTGACAACATTTTGTCAACATTGATCATTTAAGAAAAAATATCAACAAATATTTATACCCATTCCATAACATGATTTCCACTATCAAATACTGCTTTGAGTTCAGATTTATTTATAGACCATCGTTTTCTTTAAATATCATTTTTACAGTACAAAAATTACAACATGAGACTACTTGAAAATGACTGGAGAGCAACATTCATAGCTTACCTCCAATAACACCATGATTAGCAAAGCATGACATTCATTCAATCAATTAAATAGACAGACAGCAGGACATTATTATGTTAAACTACAACTGGGCTTTGATGTAGTGTTTTGTTAGGATGATGAGACGAGGTATGAAAAAGCTATAGTAGTAGAAAAGCGCTTTTTCAGTTTAAAAAATGCACACTTGTAAAAGAATGAAAAAAAATCATAATACTTAATACCCTATAATCAGGCTCTTCACTGAGATCATGATTCAAGAGAACTATGTAACATTTTGGGAAAGAAAGGTTGAATTGGTGTGTTAATGTTTCAAACCAGTTTAAGAAAAATAATCATCGCGGCAAAAGGTTATTCTTCAAGCACAATAACAATAACAACAAAATAAAAATGCCATTTGTAGAGAGGATAACTGGCTGAATTGCTTCAAAGGTTCATACTTCAAGATAAACAAGATCGTACTCTAATTGGTTTTGGCCATGATGACCCTTGTGTTAGAAATGACCGGTAAGCAAAGCAGACTGAACACAAAGCTCAACACTGTTAATGTGTTTTTGAAGTTAATTTGCCTACCATAGTGCCAGTAGTAAGAATAGAATTACCTGTATAAAGTGCGACACTGAAATGTAATCATTGCTTGGTAAAAAGTTCAAATTTGGCTCTCATTATGTAATATGTTATGCACTATATAAAAGTGGATTATTATTATTACTGTTGTTAAGCCCACACGATTTTCAGATTATACATGGACATTTTTCCTTCAATATACTATTCTGCATTTAAATTAGTGTACATAACAAAAACAAAATTAAAATTAAAAAAAAAAAAAAAAAAAAACAACAATAAACTAAAACTACCCAAATGCATATAGAATTGTCCTTACCTAACTAACCCCATCCACTTAACACCAAATTGAACATATCTTTGATAATAAAAAAAAAATATCAATTAAAAAATTATTTAAAAAATTGAAAAATACAGCATAGCTATATGATGTAGAGCAGATTCAATGAAGTTACACAATGTCATGCTCATTCAGAGGTCAAATGAGGTCATGGTGCATCAAAATAGTTCTTTCCTTGACAGATTGTATGTGGGAGAACATTTGGAGCTCCATGAACTGACCTTACAAGTGTGTAGGTGTGTGCATGTTGCAACTATCACTTTAGATATGCTATGGTTTATAGGGCATATATACCTTGCACATTTACAGTTGTTAAAGATTCTTTTAGACATTAAAACAAATAAGAAAAATACTGAATGCTGAATATTTTTGGTAACAAAACACAGCTGCACTCAGCAACAATTGAGAAATATTGACTCAAGATGTGATAAACTGGCCGAGAACAAACACTCAGCAGCAAAATAAAATGACATAAGCACAATTGCTTTACAATTCTGTATCTTGTACCACAGAAAATGGGCCCGCTTGAGGGGAGGGAGGAGTTTTGTGTCCATGCCTCTTTTCCCCCTATACTGCCATTTACATGTATTTACATGACAAATGTTGCTGTAGTGTTTTACTGTACCATGTAAGAGCGAGGCTTGGGGTTTGAATTCTCATCCCTATTCATTCAGATGTCGTGTTGATACCTTGTTAACATTGAATAACCACATTGGCACATTTGACACACAAAAGAAATAATAAAGAAAATAAAAAAAACAAATAGAGTTGATAATATGAAAACAGTGAGATAGTACGAGAAGATACCACTGACTTGTCGAGAGCCAGAAGCGTATTATATCTATTCATGTACACCATTCTGACCCTGGACTGACTAAAACGCCCTATTGTTTGATAATCCATACATGTAGCTAGCTCAACCCATTAGCATTAGATCCATATTCCTCTTGTCTGCGTATCAAGAGACAAGGAATAGAAGTATTCTGAACACGATCCATCAAAGCCAAAGGGGTCATTGATGATGATGACACAAAGCTGAGAATAGTTAGATTGAAACTCACTAGGATTCAGGTTCTGTCTTCCACGGATTTATCATCTTAATAAGGATGATTCTATTGAATGTGAAGCCACATGATTGTCAGTCATACAGTATCTTTTAGATGCCACAATGGTTATTAATTTACATTACAGGGCGTTCAAAAGCTACACCGATAATGTCAATACATAATTGCATACATACATTTCAAGAGCTTCTTGTTTTAGATTTGAAATATGGTTAGTATCCTGGCTAAACTCTCTACTGATGTAACATAGTTTGACGCTTGAATACACAGACACCCAAATAGAGTTCCAAGCAATCTTTCAGAACATGATCAAGTTGGTAGCAGGAGCTGTTTTGATGTACACCTGGAAATCCTCGCTTCTGTCATCCATGCATAAAAACCCACTATGTTGGTAGAGAACGGTACCATCAGCAGGGGGCTACTTTTCAACAGTAAATTACTGCTGAGAAATCAGTTTACTTTGATCCTCTTCCCAACACTTAACAAGAAATATAACATCCACTGTTCTTTCATTAATCCTGTTCAATCACAAACTTTTGCTCACTCTTACATTCATGCTATTTCAGTTATTCAAACCACGGCCGTCAAAGTGATTTGCTTGTATCGCAGACTACCCGTCTTTGCACCTACAAGTTCCATCAAGTACCCAAGGCAATGTTTCTGAATGTCGGCCATCTTGATTTCAATGTCCTTCTCATATGAAGCATTCAAACCTGCTGACGTACACCATTTAATTCCCTGCCTTTTGACTACATTCCTCAGCCAGGAGACTCTAAAACTACAACCAGACATTTACAACCGACTTTGGCATTCCCTGAAGTGCGATTGCTAAGTCGACTTTCTGAGACAAAGCGAGAAGCGAAGCAACGGATCTTGTTAACGCGAAACTAAGACTATATAGATATGGCATCATTGTCTGATCTCTGCTGTTCCTAATATACAAAGATGCATTCCTGCCCCAAGACAAGACAAGCAATGGCCAGCGAACGACGTAAATCAGTACATCCATCTCCATGCTCTCTCTATCCCGTCCAACATTAGCTTTCCTCCAAGATGGCCGCTTCCATACAAAATGGCCGCTACAGCTTTCCAAACAATATTAACACTCTTTGCGCATAGTTTCTGTCGTTTCCGGTCCGAGTTAATCGTTCGGGTTCAAACAACGTGCGGTTTGTGTTTCTGCTGTCATACCTCCATGTACTTGTTCTGTGTGCTCTTTATAAACGGCTCGTGCCACATGCGACGCAGATCACCCTGAGAGGGAAACAAACAGATAGAGGATAATGAATTCACACATCTTGGCCCACTCATCTGAACTCATCTACTATGTAAAATTCAATTCGAAGTCGAAGGACGTATGTGTACACCTATGAATGTAGTCAGTACCATGATCTGACAGTTGCTCCGGCATTTATGTTGTCAAAATTATAGGGTACTTAGATGTAGGGTTGTACTTGGGGTTAGGTGAAGTTTTAAGGGATTGGGTAACTTTGTCTTAGATTCTGAAACGGATTTAGCTCATGCTGCGATGATAATTATAAACCTTTAGGTCAGTCAGGAATCCCATGACTTTTACAAGCCGATTGCCTGTCTGATTATCAAGATATTTATGAGTGGAAATCGAAATTTAAAAATTTGTTTTCCTAGGAGCAATTGTCATAGGATGAGTCAGTGCTACAGATGGAGGCTGAAGAAGATGGTATCAAGAACTCGACCCCCACCCCCCCCCCCCCCCCCCCCCCCCCCCCGAAGGGACTGCATCAATGAAGATGGAAGAATGATTAATCTGGGGCTGGCTGCAGATAGAGCTAGATGGAGAATGGTATTGAGAAACACCCCCATGATGATGATTATGACCTACCTTAAGATAAGCCATGAGGAGCAGAGGGAGTAGCGTGAATGGCACAAGATACAGCAATGCTGGCTGGGCGTTCTTATACACCTCTGATGATACCGTCGCTGTTAATAGTCCTGAAAGAAAGAAATGGGATCATTAGGCTGACAGGTAGTCGTAAAATATTTTTTTGCACTTCAGTTGGTCAAATTGGGTGTCAGGGTTGTCAACAGGAATTCTTCTTAAATAATATACCATTAAGTTCTCACACCGTTAAATAAGCAGGTAAACTATCAGACTCAACATTTTTCAAGTGCAACAGACAATACCGTAATTAACGGTGTATTAACCGCACCTTTTTGCCGCCGAAAAAAAATTCAAAGTGGGGGTGCGGTTTATACACGGTACACACGGCTATACCTGGCAATGTCTCCATGCCTGACAATGTCTCCCAGCTCAGTAATCGGTGTGTTGACTCACCACTCGGAAACTAGAACAACACTCAAATTTGTCTGTCATCTTGGTTTGAAAGTAATCTTTCTGATAGATTTCAATATGTGGTTGATAATAATAATTCCTCCAATTTTTCTTCTATTACACGGCGTACCACAAGGTTCTATCCTAGGTCCTCTACTCTTTTTTAAGTTGGCAAAAAAAAAAAAAAAGGGATGCGGTTAACACATGAGGGCGGTTTATACAACTTTAATTACGGTAATATCATTTATAATATTTTCACTATATTTTCCAAGATCATTAGTTTGTGATAATGTGATGTTATTGTGAGTTTCTTGAAAGAGACATAAAGATTAAACAAATAAAGTGTTGCATATCAAAGAACTGGCAAATTGACAAACCATATGTCCTTCACAGGACAGAACGACCTATGATCTAATGTAAGAGTGAAAGAAGCAATGTTGCTGTGGTACTTGCGGATCAATGTCTTCCCCAGGACTGAACGACCTATGGTCTAATGCTACGTTTACACTATGTTCCCGGTAGCCAAGGCAATCCTGTTTCATGCCACAATGGACAAAACGAGATGGACATGAGACAACGTGGGGGAATGGAATGTGCAAACGTGACAGGCCGTGATTGCCGTGGATGCCAGGCCAGATTTTTAAACTGCCAACAAATTTGCCATGGCAGTCACAGTGTGTATGAGAAACCTAGTAGGCCGTAGTAAAACGGGGTGAACGCAACAAAAAGTGAGTCTGTAATAAGCCGTAATAAAACTTGGGAGGCGGTCAGTACTGGAATAGTTAACAGGCCCGCGCTAAGGCGTGTTGCGTTCTACTACGGTCTGAACGGCGCTTGGGGTCTCGGGATACAATGATTGCTATTGCTTGGGAAGCCTTATTTTTATGCAAACGTGTTACAAAGCTTTTCGGTGTCCACGATTCATCCATAAGAAGCCTCGACAGAACTAGAAAAACGTGCCAGACTTTGATCGGAACGTGAGAAACGCGAGGGAACCCATCAGAAAATGATGGGCCGGGAGGGAACGAACTGATATCCGTGGTAGACTGCGGGTCGAACCGCGCATATTGGAGCCCCCGGGACAGCAGCCCCTTTCCCACGACCTTGAGAAAACTTGGCAAGACCTAACAAAACTTGAATACAGAGAAAAAATGGCAAAAATCCCACGGTGCACTACGTTTTGGGCAAACAGGGTTGCCATGGCTGCCGGGAGCATAGTGTAAATGTAGCATAAGAGTGAAAGTAACGATGTTGCTTTGGTACTCACCAACAAAGTAGCCAATCAGAGAACAGTGAAAGTAAGTGACTTTTTGGGATAGGCTGTTGGGCGGTAAGATGGGGGCAGGTGCGAGGGTATCCGTCTGCTGCCTCTTGTAGTTATCATAGCGCATGACGAAGCAGAGGAGAAGACCGGGCATCACGATGTCACCAAGACCAAGCATCGAGAAATGACCTGCGTTGTGCATGCTAGGAAAGGTCACAGAAAAATGGATATAAGATAATGATTATTATGGTGAACAAACAATAAAACAGTAACATATTTGCCTGTACCAGTAATTTTTTTGGTTGCAGGAAAATTTAGGTATTTGATTTCAAAGTTTTGTGCTTGGTGTTAAGAATGCTCTATCAGCAAATAATGCAAGAAGCATCTTGGGAAGATAGATGGTTGAGCATGTACCAGGAAGGTTAACTGACGGTTTGGAATTTATATAGGAAAAGGAAGACTCAATATTGGGGGGGGGGGGATTTAAGTTAAGTCTACCAATAATACACAAATTAATACCCTGAGTGATTGGTCAGGGCTGTTAAGCGATACACTTCAATACTCCTCACATCCTTTACATGACATTCAGTCCTATGCATGTCATCCAGTCTGCATGTTCTCTTTATTATCATCTCTACCTCGCATGTAATATGTACTAGAGGGAATGAATAAGTAATATGTAATCACATACACATCAGCACAGGCTTGATCACACTGTACACCTAACCGTGTCATTCAAATGGAACGGATTGTGCTTTACATTAAAACATCTCGTCTGTGAGAACACACTCTGAGAGAATGGTCTACAGGGATATGCCATCCTATACTGTGACCTATAGGGAAATTACTCCTTGGAAATTAAAGACGGGTTTAGTTCTTGACAGGCTGAAAATCTCTTTTTTATTTCCTTTCCAACCATTCTACTTCTGTGGTAGATTGTTTTCCTTGCAAGCTAAAATAATAAGAATAAGTTGTCTGGAAATTGTCTTGTAATAGATCTTTTGTTTCATCTGAACATGTCAAATATATATATACCGGTATACACTATTATTATGATTATTATTATTATTATAATACCTAACCCAAACTAAACTATAGTCTGCATGCTTTAAAACATGAAAGTGAATTCATCAGTTAGAACAATGAAAGAAGATTTCTTGCCAAAAATTGACAAGGTTATTTTGCATGTGATAGAAAGAATAGAAAAGAAGACTGCCAGAATACTGTTTAAATACTGTGTAATTATCACCCTGGATCACTGGACTTCAAAGTCATCTTCATTCTCTCAGTAATATTCATATCATAAATTGAAATGTTCTCATGCATGTGTAAGGCCAATAGCAAAGGCAATTTCATTGGCTCAGTTTTGGAATCCTCACAGGTACCTATTTTCTTTTGAGTGGGAAGAGCTGACATTTTAAGATAGTCTGTACAAAGGGTAGGGACTTAAACCACAGACCATTCAATTTGATCTATAACCCTGTACTTTAATCCACTAGACTACTTGAATATGTCTACTTTATAATAAATGAGCATTTAGTTGCTATATCTACCTTGGGAATATGAGTTTGCCTGGTAGGGAGAGCTGAGGTGCATCTCGAGCCACTCCAAGGTTGAATTTCTTGGCCATCATCCCAACCTAACAATGAGGATGAGGGAGAGAGAGGTATGGAAGGAGAAAAGAAGAAGACAAAATGGTTATTGTGTAAAGTTATACAAAAAATTGCACTAACTGTTGACAAAAATGTATGATTATGAGGCTCCTTTTTTCATGAATGTTGGCCCTTTTCAGAGTTTGGGGATGGTCTGAACTTAGACCTCTGTTTTCCCTTAGTACTTGTACATACTTGTTTTCCGATGGTATCATATAAATTAAACAAAAATATAAGAAAAGTGATGACTTTATGTGATTGATGATAGTACCATGTCAACCTTTACCCATCCATGTGACTTCTCAATATGCTCTCCTATTCTCAGATAAACGATTAACTACTTTGATGATAAATACTATTCAATATAACCACCATTGGGGCAGCTGGATACAAATACGGTCATCATGAACAACTTGAGGACTCTCCGACCACTCTGAAATCACTCCTTAAAGGCATCGTTTAACAATGTTAAATCTGTGATGCTTGGCCCTACGTGTTATCAGTGTCATATGGTGTAATACTGAAGCCCTAAAAGAATTGCGCTTCAAAATGATCATGAAGTGCCTTAAAAAAGTGAAAATCTTTGAGTGAGCGGTTTTACCATACTCATTTCCCCAACAGACTGTAGTGGTTTTAAAAATTCGTTAGGAAAACGGTTTTTGAAATTTCGATTTCCAATCATAAATATCTTGATAATCAGACATGCGATCGGCTTGTAAAAGTCATGGGAGTCCTGAATGACCTGAAGGTTTATAATTATCATTGCAGCATGAGCTAAATCCAGGATTTTGTTTCATAATCTGAGACAAAGATACCCAATCCATTTCTACTTGGCCTACAGGCAAGAAAGGATCCTTTAATTCTGGCTCTCTGTGTGCATGGTTTAGATCACCTGCTCAGTTTGAGGAAGGAAGAAGCCATCTTTTTAACTCTCACCATGCCCGAGCGTTTCTATGAGATGATAGGCAATTTAGCTTCATGACCACATCAAACGTCCCAGCATTACAATGCATACCCAGATTATCTTGGGTGTGTATTGTGTATCATGGCTTTGTATATATTTAAATAGTAAGTAGCAAGGATTATCTGACACTAGCATTTGATGAAGAAAGTGAATAATTTGATAGGTTTCAACACTTTGAGGGACACCCCAATGATCCTACTGCTAGAACTAAATTCAAATCATTCCTTTATCTCCAGTGCTGGAGGCAGATGTAGATTTTACTCTGAAAGCTTTATCTTTAAATCTATGAACAGGTGATACTTTTGATCAGACAAATGTGGTGAAAATGAAACAGATAAAATCTATTGATTCTTTCATTAAAATAAGATATACTCTTGACAAAATAACATCATTCTAAAGTCTTGCACAAGTATGGGAACAATCAGTTCATATTTAACATTTCATCAAAATAACCAAGAGTTCACACATAATTTGAATAGAATATACCAACAGAACAGAAGAAGCAAATATCACTACAAAATCGTTTTAGTGCCATTATTGATTCAAATATCAAATTAAAGTTAACAGCTCATGAAATCAGACAAATATAGTCTCCTCATTTCAATGATTTTTGTGGGTACCCACTCCAACATATGTATCACATAGAAATTAAATGCTTATGGATTTTATATGGGATGTATCTTAACACTAAACACTGTCACTAACACACATTAACATGGGATACATGATGTACTAGCTGTGACCAGACATTTGTTCAGGTAATAACTGCTTCCGGGTCATCTTGTAAATAAAAGATGTAATATTAGGATTAGGGTTGCAATTGTCTTTTTGATTTATTTACCACTTCTGGGATGGCACACCCTGTTCAGCATGAATGTTGTTTTTCATAGGGGTCCATTTTGGGGATTTAGGGCTTACATTAAGTGAAGGGTTGATGTGATGAATGTAATATTGACCCGGGGGGGGGGGGGGGGGGGGGTTCACAAAGAACCAAAGTTGAACTTATCTCGAAGTTGGACTTAACAATTATGGAAAGCCGTTAAGCATCTATGAAAATATTTTGTAAAATTCATTTTAAAAGGCAAAATGTTGATTTAAATTATTCATATTTTCTTTTATCAGGGAGGATTCATGTTCTTGATGTGGAATTTATAAAAAGTCTAAAATACTTGAATTTTTGGTGTTGAATATATTTTATGTTAAGGCTACAAATGGCACTCCATAATTTTGAAGTCCAACTTAGAGTTAAGTTCAACTAAGGATCACCCCCTAGATTTTTAAATCTTGAGTATGTGACCTAAAACACTACTTACAGGATTGTCAGCAGGTCGGGTTGCGACCTTCACCATGACATTAGCATTAAATATATACGTAGAGAAGAAGACCCAGAACACGTCATAGATGAGTAGCCCGGTAAGGAGTAGCGTTGAGACCTTTAAGCTCGGCAACCGAACAAAAGCTATCATGGTGACACACAGACCCATGGCAAGTGCTGTGGTAGAAATAACGGAAACATAAAGACATCATTAGCAGATGTTCAATTATTTAATATCACTCCAGATAAAAACAATGTAAATTCTCACTCAGATATGTCATTGTCATGGTATACCATCGTAAATAATAAATTAATTCAAATAATCAAAATAATCAAAGAAAACTACTTCATATGTAAATGAATGACAGACAGAGATTTTTTAAAAGGGTAGCAGTGTACACAACGTACTAACTAGTCTCTGCGTTATATGATACAGATAAGAGAAGGGCACTATATTGGGCACTACATTTGTCTGCAGCTTTATAGGCCGTATGCGTGTGGACAAAGCTTTAGAAATGAGTGGTAGAGCACAGATCAATCAATATTATATGATTATATTCTCTATCGTCTTTGAACAGCAATCTGAGGTGTATATTTGATGACTCATGCATGCCTGGGAGAAATCACTTACCAGTACATGTAATCGATTATGCCCCATTTACACCATCGAGATTAACAACAGACCAACGACAGGCTAAACAATGATTGCATTACGCTGATCAGTTGCCTTGGAGTCAGTGTGCAGTCAGCTTGGTCATGTGACTGAGGTATTACAGAAATATATCACCTCCTCATCTACAATAATTCATGCATGTACCCAAATGGCCATTTGGAAATATTGTTGCCATTAATCATCACTTGTTTGCTTTTTGATTTACAGAGAATGGGGAATATTAGATGTTGAATCTGATAAGGGGTAGGAAAGATGAAAAGGGGGCCATGGGGTATGGAGAAGAGATTGAAATTATTAGAGGAATGGTAAACATTGGTATAAAAAAAATTGCATTTAGGTTCAATAGGGGAATGGGTTATATACAAATGGGAAATTGGAGGAAGGGGGATAGGCTATGTGAGGGGACAAGGGTAAGAATACACCCCATATCGTACCATCCTGGAGGTAGAAAAAAATGGAATGGTAGCTAAAATATCACAGATCTGGGGTAATGTAGAGAAGGGGGAGGGGGGGGGGGGGGTAAGGTGGGGGGGGGGGCGGGGAAATCTAATATGTAATAGAGAGGATGGAGGATGTGTATCACTGTATTTCTTACCATCCATGAGTAACCAGTGGCCTGTCATGACCCACAGGAATACAAGCATGACAGAGAGACAGAATGACATGATCTCCGCTGATGTAAATCTCCCACAGCACCCAAATGAAATTCTGTGGCAAAAACAAAAATAGAAAAGAAGAGAAAAAAATTAATTTCAATATTTCAATGCTTATGTCAACATCTAAAAACCGCAATAATCCATATTTCAGATATTTTACCAAAGAATATGAACATTATGCGTTGTTAAACTCGAGGATAAAAGAAAAAAATTCTTGGTTAAAAAAAAACTATATTTTCAAAGCAGTATAAACCAGCTAATAAAAATGTCTTGTTACAAAATACAAATCAAAATTTTCAGATGGGAAGCAGAATAAAACAGCTACGAACAAATAATCTGGCAAACTAAAATATCTAATAAGTACAAACGAATAGCAAATGGGGTGGAAAATATAGCAGCACGCAACAAAAGCCTCTAGGTGTAATCAATTATCTCTGTATTATCATAATCATATACAGAACTACTACGGTACTGTGTGATTGGGGTTTTACAGACATGTATCAAATTATTTATATCTAGGGACCAACTGAATCGGCACCATGATTTTTTATGTTTTTTGTATCCATTGCAGGTGGCTTTTAAAAAATTTTTTTTACTGGTAGTTGATCTGCATTAATGAGGTTATAGAGAACAGCATATAATGAATTAATTGACACTACAGAACTGTGAAAAATACACTCATTGACATAGAAATAATAAGGTAAAAACAGCATTAAGAATTTTTTCTTATGAAGTCAAATAACAAAGTCATTTAATCAAGAAGTAGAACAGATAGTCAGTGAAATGAACTTGGAAGAGGACATGACTAAAAACAAGACAAATGTGACAATCTCTGAAGGAAATCTAAAATGAATACACCACAACATGACATGGATGGAAGCCAGCAGGAAACCCTACTATAATAGACAAACCAGGATTGTTACAGACTTGACACAAATGTTAACACTTAGACTGAAAACAGAGCGGAAATGGATAGAGGAAGAGTTCAAGAGGAAGGGTTCAAGAGGGCGAGAGAATAAAGGGCAAGAAAGAATAGTTGGACATTGTCTAGTCTAGTCACAGGAAACTGATCGCATGATGAAAAAGAAACTAATATTGGATTAACATTTTTTTTAATGAGCCTGTCAAGTGAAAGATTACAAAAGAATTGAAAAGTTGTTAAGAAGGAGTGAGGGAAGAGAAGATGGTTGCTAGCCCTATGAAAACAGATTGTGAGAATGAGATGTGAGTTGCTCTGGATTCTGAGATTTATAATATTAAAAAATTAAGACAGTATTCATAACAATGAGATTTTCTACCAAGACGGATGAGAGAAAATGAAGGGGAAAGAGTGGCAGTCACTTCGTCTGGATACTATCCAACACAAATTCAGTTGATAGATCTATATACCATGTAAATTCAATCATTATTTCTACATACTTACTTACTGTACCAAGTAAGTAAGTAAATATATAGAAATAATGTCTAGTTCAAATTCAATTACATGTACATCTATCTGTGTAAGATATGAATACTTATTACCTACATAAGGCTTCCAAGTGGTACAATAAATCAGAGTACTCAATATCGTTAGCACAGTACCCGGATGACGGACCAATATTGTTTTCATATTGCTCAATCATCCAGGAACTTCGACTATCGATATCGATATCATGGCGAGGTCACACAAAAATAACGCCAAATTTTGTTATTTCGCTAGTCAGACTAATATAGATAATAATAATAATGTTGTATGGCTTTGTTTTTGTGTGATATAAGAATATATTGCTCTAGCTAAGTCAATATCAGACTCGTCTTTGACTTGTCCAATATTGTCAAAGCTCGAGCAATATATTCTTGTATCACACTCAAAGCCATCCAATATTATATAAAGACATTATTTGACTTGGATCTAAAGTATCCAGTGTCAAGAAATTGATATTGATCAGATGCATGTCAAGGATATAGATATGTGGGATATCCCCAAAATGATTGGAACAGTTTGGTAAGCCAGGTCACACTGGGATCGACCGCTCATTGAGAAAAACACACTATCCCTGGCTATGAAGCACATTCAGGTCAATGTCATGAGAAAGTGAGCCAGATTAGCTCTGATTGACAGATAGATACCAGACAGGAAGGTGATTGGGAGGGGGGAGGGAAAGGGTGAAGGGTGAGAGGGGGAGGAGAGGGGGGGGGGGGGGGGGGTGAGAGAAAAAGGGGCAGCGCAGGCAGAGAGTGGAGAGATAAAGTGAGGGGGAGAGATAGAGAAATTGACAGAGGGAGAAGAGGGAGAAAAATTACAGCGGGGAGGTGGGGGGTGGGGGAGAAAGATCAACAGAGCAATATGAAAGGAGAAGAGACGCCAAAAAATTGAAAACATTAACCTAAAATCCTCAAGGAAGAATTTAAAACTTCATTGTCTAAGGCATGAAACTTTATAGAAATGATTAGAAAAACATGTTAAAACATTCTCAAAGAGTGCCACCAGAAGAACCACTCCCCCCCCAAAAAAAACAACAACAAACAAACAAACACACACACACAATCATCCTCCCAGAACCTGTCCATGGATGTCAAGAGGAGAGCACCACTTCACATTGACACACATCCACCAAAGACACAACCACACAGCATCCGGAAGGTTAGCATCCAACAGTCTGATCTCACTGTATAGAAAACAAACCCTGACATCTCTCCTAAAACCTTAATCATGTTATTGATATGACCCTATTCCGTTTCCTCTCTCTGCCCTGAAGTTCAGGTGCGCACTGATACCAACTTGTCATACTCAGTGACGATGGTCTTCGATCCAGGCATCATCAGCCTCATACTTTTCCCACTGTTTCTCAAGTGTTACCGACCTACTTCAGCCCACAAGACAGACAACCTTTTAAGAGGGTTCACCAGACCAACATTGTCGGTCTTGTTAGCTTTTAGTTTACTAGGATGTCCCAGTGCTATCACAGCAATGATGCGCATCTAAGGTCCAAATTAAACAGTTAAATGACCGTGATTTTTTTATCAGGAGAGGCGAGGGAGGTCTGAACTTTTTCTTGTCAGATAATATGTATTGTAATCATTGAGATAAGTATGAGAACTTCACATTATGAAGTAGTTTATGTGCAATAATGCTACAATACTGCACCTGCTAAGAACCAAAAGGACATTAATTCATACACTTTGACCCAATGATAGAAATGTACATGTAACATAACAGGGAAGGTAAAACACTGCCTGTGCCACTGGTACTCCAGTATCTGTGGAGGCATCCCACACACTAAAACTCATTAAGAAGTCTCTCGGATAGGACATAAAGCCATAGGTCCTTCTGGTTGTAAGGGTATACTTGCTTTCTTAGCAGTTGGATAAATGTAACCATCAATCACTCTACTGGATACACTTCATGAAGTAAAATATTTGAATAAACTCTGAAAAGTTACTTTTCATTTAATAGAATTCTCCATATACCGGTATCTTACTCCAAAGAATTTCCTCAAATTGCCATTATTAACAGTCCAAATGTCCCCTCTACATCATAAACACAATGGGCACATCTATGAAATTATCATGTGTTTGGAGATCATAACAATTCCATTAATGAACATCTCTATCATCATCAAAATCTCAATCAAGGAAATCACCCCCCTTGATGCTGTCCCACATGACAGCTATATTGAAAATGAAACAATGTAGGCACTCTTTATCATTGATCAGCACATCACTGCATGACGACTCCCATTGATCAGCACATCACTGCATGACGACTCCCATTGATCAGCACATCACTGCATGACGACTCCCAATCGGAAGATCTTTAACTGGTGGAGAGGAAAGGTGTTTTTTGGCTGATTAATGATTAACCAAGCATCACATGGAACAGCATCGGTGGTTATAATGTGTAAACGCACCTGCCAACATCATTTGTGGTCTCTACAAAAGTTCATTACTAACATTATAGTTCTGGTATTACAAGGTCTGATGCTCAAACGTGTGTTGTTTTTCATCACATGATTACTATTCCAATTATCAAGATATGCATGGTCTACTGTAAATGATTATCTAGGTATAGTGGGGCTTTTGATCAGGAGAAGCAAAGGAACCAGTCTGACAAATTCTTACCCCTCTTTAAAACAGAAAAATCAAATTTTGAGTGCTATTTACTGATTTTATTGTCCATTTTTGAACAAAATGTAATTCATGATTGATTGCCAGTTTGAAACAGTTTTGGGGGTTAAGAAAACAATGGTGACTAGGTGTACCAAAACATTGTACAATCATATTTTATGATCATATATAAATATGTACGAAATACTACAACCTTCAACAATTTTTTCTTCTTCATAACAAGTTGTGGAAATCAATAATAAAAGCAGGCTGATTGAGAAGGCTAGTAGATCCAACCCTGATTTTCTTGATTGAGGCGACTTGGCTACCACATATAAGATGAAGCAAGGTATGGATTCGCGTAAAGTGAGAAACAGATAGGATGAAAGTATATTGATGGGAGAGAAGATTTCACTAGAGGATCATCCTCAATCTCCGAACATTGGGTAGGGATGAATCAGAAAGATATTATAACCTGGCCTTTGTGCCTCTTTGCCCCTTAAAGACGAGGAATTTAGACTTTTTTCTAAGAAATTATATAAATATTAATGGTCAAGTAAAGGGATTTTCTGAGCTGTAATAATAAATAAATAAATAATACATTGATACAAAACTCTGGCAATAGAAAGACATAAATCCCTTGGCTTTTCTGCTTTTCTGTCACCAAATATGATGGAGATTCAAGCGAGATTTGAGCAAGGTTTGCGGTAACACCACATATTCTTTCTACATGTCCATGTAAGAGGATAAATGGAGCTTATTTCTTCCTTGATTTCTTTACCTGTAAAAGATTTTTCTTCTAGGAATTGGTATATTAATTGGCAAGTTAAGAGATCTTTTGAGCTATCATCCTTGATTCCCTAAATAATAAATTGATACAAAACTCTGCCAATAAAAAGACAAAATTACCTTGGCCTTTTACGTCTTTCTGCCTCAAGCAGACATGGATTATTACGGTAAAATGCA